TCAGTATTTTATCCCAGAGTGCAGATCTGGTGACAGATGAAGCAGTGTGTGGAATGCACCGCAGCAGCGAGTGGTGTGTGTGTTTTGTGCAGCTGAACAGAATCTGGAGGCAATTCAGCGAACGGCGATAACAGGGCCTTGGCACAGGCTGCGGGCAGGATGTTAGGAGTACTGCCCTGTGCTTCCGGAGTGGGATGGGATCGAGCTTGGGAATGCTGCTGGCCCTCCGTGCCCAGACTCAGGGGGAAATCAGAGAGGGAGGGATACTGGGTCAGCAGGGGCCCGTCAAGCATCAGGCATATTCGTTTTACTCAAAGGAATCATCCAACAACATAAAAAGACACAATGTTATTTGAACTGGTGCTTTGGTTGGCAAGAATTCCAGTTTGAATATTCCAAACGAATATAAAGACATTTAAAAATCACAATCACTCATTAAATTTCAAAATTGGCTTAATCCTGACATCGGTTCTGAGCGAATTGGATATGAACCAGACTATGTCTTCAAAGTAATCTATAGTTATTTCAGTTGTGCTTGATATTTGGATTTGGACCTTTAGCACCATTCGTTTAGTTAAATATATAACAAGACACAATCCCTTAGACAGCTCATTTAATACACACTTCACTGCTGCCAGATGTTGAAAAGCAGGTAATTTGAAGACCGAGTTTCCATAGTGCTGCCTTGAATAATGCAGCAAACATTTTTTGGGATGGAATTATATATATTGGAGCTGGAGTACCACTTAACCAAAGATGATGGACAATTGTCACATGTAGCATTCCCAAGGCGTGAGGTCACAGTAAGACGAAACTGAACTGTCTTTGGGTAGGTCCATCAAAAATGTACGGAGAAGTTTGCAGCTGCGAGGCCGAAATCCCAAATTCCGTTTTGAGGTTTATTCCTTGAACGTGTTCCATTGCAACATACTGTTTATCATAAGTTATCCAGGCGTCTAGCTGTGGAAAAGCTTCGGCGCTGAAGCGCGCGCGTGCCAAGTCAGGCCTTTTCCTTACATGGTATAAGCCACTAGGCATGAGACCATCTCCTTCCTGATACATGTGGATCTGTCTGGCCATGATCAATGTCTTGCTGCCCTGGACATTTGGAATGTGTTTAACTGCAGTTAAGGTTCCTTTTTGAGCAACTTGGTGTCCTGTAGTCCACCTCCTTCGCACTTTCGAAACAATTTGTAAACTCTGAGGAAATATTTTTTACTTGGAAAATTTTTGACATAGCTAAAAGTGGGATCATTCTTACCTTTTTGGGTTGTTTTGCTAAATAAAGAGATGGAATGAATATTATTGCTCACCATTCTCGGTCACAGTTGGCCACCTGTCCAATGGTGTATTTAAACGTTGAAGCTCCTTTAATATTTCTTTGAATATGGCATATTGGAAACAATTGTTTGTGGTCATATGTAAGCACAGATCTGATTATAATCCAAACCAGTTTTATTTGACTCGCACTGCTTGAAGGGGTCTGCTGGAATGCATTAAATAGACAGAAGTCTGCAAATGTTTCCTCTTTGAATGCTGGTGAGAGTTAAAGGAGTCCAAATGCCTGAAGTATTTTAAAAGAATGTATAGTAATGCAGTAATCCAAAGTTTACTTCACCTTCTTCACCATATGTCAAAAGTATGTGCACGCCAAAGAGTTTTAATAGGGAGTTGATGCTTCTGCTTGCACTGTAAAAATGATAGAAAATGATAGATCATAATAAATGATAAAAGTAATATATTAGAATGTGACAATAGATTACACACAATATAATTAAATGCAATTTACAGTTGAATATCAATCAAATGGTAATTTTGTATGTGTGTGTGTGTCTGTGTAAAAAACTGTTCTTTTAAACTCTATTCATCATAGAGATTCATCAGAAAGATTCCACAAAAATACTAAGCAGCACAGCTGTTTTCAACATTGGTAAAAAAAATAATAATAAATGTTTCTTGAGCAGAAAATCAGCATATTAGAATGATTTCTGAAGGATCATGTGACACTGAAGACTGATGTCATGATGCTGAAAATTCAGCTTTGCATCACAGGAATAAATTATATTTTAAAATATATTAAAATACAAAAAAGCTATTTTAACTTGTAATAATATTTTTACAATACTATTGTTTTCACTGTACTTTTTGATTCAGTAATTGCAGCCTTAAATGCCGTCTGAGCATAAGGGACTTTTTTCAAAAAAATAAGTAAGAATTATGGTAAAGACAGGGTGGGACCCCTTTTTTTTTTTATTGTGTTAAGGGGTGGGACGCTTCGAATTCTAGAGAGCATTTGATTGGACAGAAAGTTTGATGAGAAGCTGAAGGGCAGGGTGATGTCATGAGAATCGTTGATCCATATTAGCGGAAGTCGGAGACTGTAAGTTTTTAATGCTTATATCTTGTAAATGTGAATTTTGTCATTGTTTTGGAGCACACTAGCTTATAGATAACATATTCATACAAAAAGCCATAAAACTTCCAATTTTGATTTCATGGGGACTTTAAAATTTCAACTATTTTAACAGTGTCTCTATATCCTGTAATTATAAAAAATATATGAAATCTATTACATTTGTGACTATTTCTAGTGGCTAAAAGGTTGTAGCCCTTGGCATAGAATTAGACAAAGACATATGATGGGGTTATTCTGAAACAGAAGGTTTTCTGTTCTGTAAGGGGCACAGGTAATTCAGGAGGAAATGGGCAGGTCAGCGAAAGAAAGAGAAAATGACTAATTTAGATGATCAAGACTCTGAGGACAGTTTGTGCTCCAGTGCCTGCAGGGCTGCACTAAATAATCCCATTTCCCCAAATTCTCAATGCTTCACAGCTGGTGTACAGAAATGAGAGGCATTACACAGAGACTGAAGGGTGACAGAGGGCAAAACTACTGCATGTGGTCTATTTAAGACATCAAGAGTCATGACTAATCACTGATGCATTCTTATCCAAGTGTTTTTGTTACTTTATGTTACCATGATGCATCACGCATTTCATAACTTACTCTATAATATTAGCAATCGTGCATTACTGCAACTATTGAAACTCCCAGTAGTATACAGTACTTGTTTAGAGATCCAAGTCTTGCACTCTAAACTGAAGCCCATGTTAGTTTCACAGGGTGAGCATCTTTATCCATGTTTGGTTATGCAAGGCCTCACCAGTGAGCAGCAACTCTGTCCTGTTACACACGTCATGGCACAAAAAGCCTTCACATATTTATCGGGTCAGAATTTTACGAGCCATTGATTCAGTGCATCTCTGGTTGGGAAACCCCTGTCTGTGCATCTGGAGATTGGTGCGGCGGAAGCAGGGGAGTGAAGGGACTCAAGAGGGCTTGATTCACCGCCAATGTACAGCTGCTTCTACTGTTAAGGCCATGTTGTTCTTGATGTGATTTGAGGTTTTGGTGTAATTGCCAGCACTAACGCTAATTGCACATCAAAAAGATGGGTTGAGGAAAAACACAACATGTCGCTGCCTCGGTCTTTGATGGTTTTGATGAATAAAATGACAGGCGTGCCATAAGTTAAATCTTTCATCTTGTCCTCATGAATCCAGAAGTTGTCCAAATAAGCTGTAGAGGAGCAAAAAATGTTTGTTCTGGTTTATTGTTTAACTTCAGTGAGTTTTTTAGCTTGTGCGTTGACAGGAAGAGTGAGTGGGGGGAGTGGGAAATGACTCCAGATTTGAACCCATGTCACAAATAAAATAATAAAATAAATAAAGATAAATACGTGTCAGCCTAATTGAAAAAAACAATCCATAGAATATGAAATCATTTTATTTTTCAGTGTCAATATGTCTTTATACATATATAGTGACATTTATATCTTTTTGGGTATGTGGAATCAAAAAATGTAACAACGCCTACATTATCCTACTTTACATGGCTACTTAGCAATTATGTTT